TGAAGGCTTCCTGGATGTATCTGGTTGACTATTGTGGATTGGGCTGGTCTTCAAAACTATCCAACAGGGCGTAGAAATTGCTGGCTTAAAACCTCCAGCTCTTTAATCTCTCTAGATTGAGAGCGAAGACCAAAGTCCAGCTGAAATGCTTGCGAGACTTCCTCTTCACTGATGATGCAGGTTTTGTTGCTCACTCTGCTGAAGACCTCCAACAACTCATGAATCACTTTAGTAAGGCCTGCCAAGACAATCAGCCTGAAGAAAACACAAGTCATGGGCCAGAGTGTGGACTCACCTCCCTCTATTACCGTCTCTACACAAGAATTGGAGATTGTTCATGACTTTGTGTACCTTAGCTCAACAATCTATGACACTCTCTCCCTAGATGTTGAGCTCCCTAGATGTCAAGCTGGATAAACACACTGGCAAAGCAGCTACCATGTTCTCAAGACTCACAAAGAGAGTAAGAAGCTGATGGCATATACCAAGATCCAGGTCTATAGAACCTGTGTCCTGAGCACACTCCCGTCCTGCAGTGAGTCCTGGACCCTTTGTGCACGGCAGGAGAGGAAGCTGAACACGTTCCACATGCGTTGCCTCCGACACATTTTTAGTATCACCTGGCAGGACAAAGTTCCAAATAGAGTAGTCCTAGAATGAGCTGGAATTTTTAGCATATATACATTACTGAAACAGCAATGTCTATGTTGGCTCGGGCATGTCATGAGAATGATCGTCGGATTCCAAAAGATCTCCTGGATGGAGAATGAGTGCAGGGAAATCGCCTCAGAGGGAGACCACAGCTGCGATACAAGGAGATCTGCAAGCAGGATCTGAAGGCCTTAGGAATGAACCTCAACAGATGGGAAACAGATGGCTTGTCCACCTCCATGACATCTGTTCAGCCTGGAGGCAGGCAGTGCATCACAATCTCTCCCAATTTGAAGATACCCTTATCCAACAGGCCAAGAGGCAGTCCCGAAACCAGCAAAATCAGGGAGCTGGACAGGGGACACATTGTATTTGTCTTCAGTGTGGAAGGAATTGTCACTCTCAAACTGGCCTCCTCAGCCGCACTAGACGCTGTTACAAGTCCTTAATACAGAGCACGTTCCCATCGTCTCTTGAGACTGAAGGATGCCTAATACGCTACTACAAAAACCTCCAGCTACGCAATGGTGAAAATTTCTGATAAGGACCCATAGAGCAGATTATTATAGGATTTCAAGTTTCTCTCAAAAAACTCTCTCAAGTTTCACTCTTTATTGTAGTTAGTTTTACCTCAACAGGCAATAAAGTCTCAATAGATTCAGTCAGAGGCTCTGATATTGAGAAAGAATAAAAACATTTCTCTTCTACATACATTTTCCCCCATATTTATTAGACTAACAAACGTATTTGCCAAGGCTAAATAAGTCATCTTAACATTGTCTCCACATTTATATTACACAATGTTCTTTGTGTTTTCCTCGACTCTCCATGATAATGGAAGTCCATTGCCAGCGTGTCCTTGTGTCTTATTTACAAATCAATTTACTCATCATTTCAAGGGCTGGAATCAACCAGGGGTCAGGGAATACTTCACTCTAGAATACAGCACGCTTTTTAGAGTAGTATGTAGGTGTTTACCTTAAGAAAGATGCAAAGTACTGTAAAGGGAGACCCATAAGACTATACAGTTCTGAAACTCTCCTGCCTCCAAGTTAGGAGGAACTTTATTAAGAGCGGTTCATGCAGTGAAAGCTAGGACCGTCTACAGTGAAGGACCCCATCACGTGCCACCTGACTATCTATACTGGTGGACTAAGGTGCGTTCCTTGTGCTCATAAGAAGCAGGAGGAGTTATGACATAAAAAAAAGGATGGGGAGAAATGGGTCCCAAACTTGTAAGCAACTGTCTTTGAACATCTGAAGATGGCTGTCCTGCAAGCAGTCCTTGAAATATCCTTCTCAAGGCTGGATCTGCCCTGTTGCTTCAATTTTCCTTCAGTGGTCTCCGGCTGTCGTGCTGTCTTTTCCTGTAGAGCAAGGCTAAGCGAATGTGGTCCTGAATGGGTATGGACTGTGTTTCCCATAATTCTTCACTGCCAGATAGGCTGGCTAAAGCTAGTGGAAATGGGAGCCAAAGAGCACAGGGAGAGCCCATCCATGCCAGGGAGTCATGCTGGTAACTGACTAACGCTAAGAGGTTAGAGTGTGAGATGTTAGCACATATTAGCTAGTACCCTTTTCGTCACCATGTAATGTCACATTATTGTAGGTGCCACTTTGCTCACAAGCAAGTCAGTTGGCACAATTCAATCACACAGACGGTTGTGTTGTCCTCTTTGCAACCCATTGTGGATTGTTCTGGTGGAGAGGCTTCCTGGAGAGCACTTCCTCCTTGGTGCTATTATAGTCACCATGGGCGTAACCTCAAATTATGCCCATGTAGCTACTCAGTAGGATTCTAGTCATTCCTTACTTCTATACATGCTTTAATTACGCTTTCAAAAGGCTCTACACATGATTTGTTTAAACTTCCAAAATACTTTTATCAGGATCTTTCAGCAAAGGCTTCTGAAGAAACCCAAGGCTCATCCAAACCGTTTCCCCCCTGCCCCTTTGGGTCAGTTGATGCTCCTTGGTTCTGAAGGAACCTAAAGGTTACTGGGTTTGTGTCTACACTTCTTCCTAAAACCTCTCCTCTCCTCTCTTCTCTTTTGATGGAGTCAGAATTGTAGAAAGGAATGGTTCAAAAATATTTAAAAAACTTTGAAGAAACATTTTAAAATGAATATTCTGTGTTGGTTAACATTTTAATAGAAAGGCCCTCTAATCTGGGCCCCTTTGGTAGATGCTTACCCCAGTGCTAATTTACAGGGAAATCGCCCCAGAGGGAGACCACAGCTGCGATACAAGGAGATCTGCAAGCGGGATCTGAAGGCCTTAGGATTGGACCTCAACAGATGGGAAACCTTGACCTCTGAGCGTTCAGCCTCTCCCAATTTGAAGAGACCCTTGTCCAGCAGGCTGAGGCAAAGAGGCAATCACAAAAGCAGCAAAATCAGGGAGCTGGACAGGGGACAGACTGTATTTGTCTTCAGTGTGGAAGAGATGGTCACTCTCAAATTGGCCTCCTCAGCCAGACGCCATTCCAAAACCTCTATTCAGAGCACATGACATCATCTCTCGAGACTGAAGGATGGATGTCATTGGAATGTATTTGGAAAATCAAGGCTCATTCTCACTTGCATTTGTTCCATTAAGGATGGGTGGATGGGTTGGTATCATTGGCTTCCTCAATGCTCCCATGACATTCTTGCTCGTACGGATGGCAAGCCAACTTTCCATGTGCCTTTCAGTTTTTTTTAAAAAACTCAGTCTGGTATGTGTGATCGTTGTTGTTGCAGTACACAATGAGGAATGCAAGCGGTGGCTTGTTAATTAGCAACAATTTGTTGATGCAAATTGTTCCATTGCCCTTCCCCCAAGATTTTGGCCATTCATTTCTTCATAATAAACCAGAATGAGGGCCCGAGGCTGAATGAGCAAGTTAGATCAATTGACTGATGAGATTGAACTGTTTATAGTGCTTAAAACAAACAAACAAAAATAATGACAAGCTCCATAGGTATTAAAATAATATTTAAAAATGATGTAAGCAAGTGTAAAGAGAGTTGCCGTGGAGCACGTAGTCCCAATTTCATAAATAAAGTGATGGAGTTTGACCAAGAAGGGGCTGTGATATCTGTGTGTCTCTTACGGAACATCTGAACCCACCTGTGTCGCCCTTATTCAGAGCAAGGCAAATTCCATGTCGGGCATTGTTGTCAAACGAATGGAAAACTAGATGCCAAGTGCCATCCTGCCCCCTAAGCAGAGCTGTTGTGCAGCCACCCTTGGAGGAAAACATCCACAGTCTGTCAAAGTGGACCTGGCAGAACTGGAAAGGGGGGCAACCATAAGCACGGAAAGGCTGGAGTGACGTCTCTGCGGGAAAGAGTGTAACAAGACGGGGTCTTTTTCGTTTGGAGAAGGGCGAGTGGAGGGAGAGTGTCGGTTGTTTGCTATGTGCTGTCTAGTTGCTTTCGAAAGTGCTGACCTTGAACAGGCCTTGTTGTCAACAGCCCTGCTTGGATCTTGCAAATCTTGGCTGCAGTCAGTCCATCTAAGGTTTAAACGTCCTCTTTTCTCCCTGCCTGCTTCTTCTCCCAGCATCATCATCCTTTCCAGGGAGTCGCTTTCTTCTTGTGATGTTGCCAAAAGTACAACAGGCTCAATTTAATCATTTTCGCTTTTAGTGCGAGTTCGGGCTTGATTTGCTTGCGAATGTGCATCCCTGTCTTTTTGTAATCTCCTGGTTCCATAAAGTTCTCCTCCAATCCCACAGTTTGAAAGAGTCGTGATGTTTTTCCCCCCACCTACCAGCTTCGTTCACTGTCCAGGTGTCACACCTGTGTATAGCGATGGGGAATACCAGAGTGTGAATTTGGGGTGGGAAGACCTGGGAAGTGAGACTGGAGAACAGAGTAGCAATTTGTTTGTTGTGCAATATTTTTATATATTGGGAGGGGCTAAATGAATGAATAAATGAATAAATCAATAATAAAATAAAATGATCAGGTTGGTAGTGAGGAGCATGGTTCATCTGTAGACTGTGCAACTTTGTTGAGAAACACCCAAAATAGGCATGCACACAGAGAGAGAGAGAGAGAGAGAGAGAGAGCAGAAAATAAAGCTGCCGAGAAGGCTTTGCTAGCCTCCAGGAGCAGCATTTTGACAGCAGAGTTGAGCAAACTCTGCTCTTGGGCTTCCTCCTTATCTTAATCAACACCTCTGCGGTCATGCTGGGCATGAAACAGTTTTCACTTCAGCACCCAGAGAACTAGAAAGGCTCAGAAAGTAGACGTTGGGAGGGAGGGAAGTGGACTGTAGGAGGTGAAATAGATGGGGGTGGGGGTGGTACTGTTTATTCCTCAAGAAAGGTCAACCGAAGGAATGAAGTGGACATAACATAGTCTTCTGATGTTGGACTCCCTACGGCCCTCCTGCCACATGCATGTCTATCCCTTGGAACACGGAGCTCTCTGCCGTTGGTCAGGACATCGTGCGCATGGTCAGTCCATCCAAAGAGTTCCCCTGGGGTGGGTTCATTTCCATGTATGAAGAGAGAGGCCCACCCAGAACTTGGAAATAACACAAGTAATGATGTTAGCCTCTGATAGGTTACCTTTCGGGATAACTGTGTCTTTTTGTGAATTACGTCACAGTTGCTAACACTGCTACCATTTTTCATGTAAAAAGTAATGAATAATGATTGGTAATGATGAGTAATTGGGTTATTTTTTTCTCTTCAGTTCGATTTGTTTTATTTTATGATTTTATGGCTGTTTTGCTTATGGTTCATTCAATTTCGTTATGCTGTAAACCATCCAGAATAGTGTTTTGCACTAATGGGATGGTATATAAATTATATTAGATTAGATCAGATTAGATTAGATTAAATAATGGATATCTTTTCTCATTACCTTTTGTGGGCAAAAATGTTTTTAGGCAAAATTTTCCAGGGTATTCTCCCTCACCCGTTTTTTTTTTTTTTTTTTTTTTAATATAGTGTTCTTTTTAAAAAAACATTAAAAAGTGCAGGGAACAGGAGTAAAGAAAAATGAATAACAGGTAACAGCAGTTACTACTTTAAAAATGTAAACTTTTTAGCTGTTGAGCCTCCTCTTCTTCGTCTGCCATTCCAAGGTTGTGTGAATCCAAGGAAGTGGGGCTGACTCGGTGTCTTTTCCTCTTTCATTTCCACCCCGGTTTCTTCATATTGCACACACGGATGCCTGAGAAGCCGGATCTTGGAAAGTACTTGGAACCTACAGCTCAGGCAAAATACCATGGCAAGATGTTGGTCTAGCATTTGTTTTGGGGACCAGAGGATGTAGCCCCTAGGCTGGCTTCAGAGGCCTATTAGTTTCTGCATGTGGTCCAAGACGCTGGTTTTGCCCTGAATTGTTTGGGAATAGCAGTTCTGAATGGCTCCCTTCTTTCGTATGCACCTGGCCATGACTTACTCTCCAGATGAGATGTCTGATTGTAGATGCCTTATCATCTCAGAAGGCTAGATGGGGACAGACCGGAGAGAGAGGACTTTTCCGTAGCAGCACCACAATTGTGTGGGGTTGTTTTTCCCTTCCCGAGGGAGGTGAGGTTGGCCCCGTCGTTACGCAGGTTTTGGTGGGCAGCAAAGACGGTTCTGCACTGTGAAGTTTTTTCCACAGTGCTTTGTGTGATTTTAGAATACATGTGGGTTGCGCTTGAGCCATGATTTTAGTGCCACTCTCGGATTTTTACTGTATCGTTTTTACTGCTGGCTTTCATGCCTTTCTGAGGATAGGCTTTTAATACTAATTTAATAGTATATATGCCTGTGGAGGGGAAGATTTGTACATTTTATCAAAAAAATAAACACTTCCTTTAAAGCAACCCCAGTACCACCGAGCTCTAGCCCCCAAGGAGACATCAGGGTCCTACAGAGCCGCGTGTTGGAGGCAACTATAATAGCAACCTCAGGGAGTTACTGCTGCAAGTGTTAGGGACTGGCTGCTGGTGGAGAAGGGTTTTTCAAAGGAGACCCAGGTTTGAGCCCTAACGCTCTTCCTCCTCCCTGCTCTTTCCCCCAGATGACTTCATGAAGCAGAGTCGAGGCATGCTCTTGCTCTACACCTTGAAGAACCCCTCCTACCCTGAGTACATCTTCAACAGCGAGAGCGGCATCATGTGCCTTGACATCCATGTGGACCACCCCTACCTGATTGTGGTGGGCTTCTATGATGGCAACGTGGCCATCTACAATCTGAAGAAGCCGGCCAGCTCCCAGCCGGGCTACAAGAGCACAGCCAAGTCTGGCAAGCACACGGACCCTGTGTGGCAGGTGGGCGCTGATGGTCACCTCACCTCTCTATCCTCCACCCTTCTCCCTCCTCTGGCCCTGCCCTACTCTGCCCTGCCTTTTTTGATTAACTGCTTTAAAGCTGGCTTGATCCACAGATAACTATAAGTTGTAATGTTTCACCAAGAGGATGTTCTCAGACACACTTTAAAATATGCATGTGCATCATTCACCACTGTGCATAAACCATCCATCCATCCATCCATCCATCCATCCATCCATCCATCCATCCATCCATCCATCCATCCATCCATCCATCCATCCATCCATCCATCCATCACTAGCTCCTTCCTTCCTTCCTTCTTTCTCTTTTCCTCTTTCCTCC